TGCACTGGGGAAAGAGCTCATTTTGTGACAACAGGTTATTCTGTGCAGTAGCTCATTGTTTATGCATTTCCAACTCAAAAGTTGATTTCTACCTAAAGATTTTGGGGGAAATTGGGATAGTACTAATGTTTAGAGTCTCTGAAATGTTGAACTTCAGTAAGTTTAAGAAGCAACAAGAAAACTCAAGTTTAGTTATTGACTCCAGTCTATCAACTTGAAATGATTTACCAGAGAAAACTCAGTGATGGCACATCACTGTTCTAGAGTTTGATATAACAGAACAAAACAAAAACAGGGCTGGGGCTGCAGCTCAGTGGCAGAGCTCTTGCCTCACAGGTGTGAGGCACTGGGTTAGATCCTCAGCACCACATAAAAATAAAGAAATAAAGATATTGTATCCATCTACAACTAAAAAATTATATTAAAAAAGCAAAAACAAAACAAAACAAACCAAACACTAGCCCATCCTGTTGCCTGCATATTTCCATATTCCTAGCTTTTGGAGGAACAATAGCTCTACCGAGTAGAAAGGTTGATTCCAAAGCTGACCTCAGCACAGTGAGCTAATGTAACAGATGAGAACTAGGAACTAGAAGACCAACTAATAAAGATGAACCAGAAAATATTGATCCTGACCTAAAATCATGGTGTTTAATTTAAAAGACAGCTCTTCAGAAAATCCTTTCTTCTGTTGTCAAACAAGCCTTGGAACTTGTCTCTCTCTCTAATCATTCAATTAGGAAAGAGACAAAAAAAAAAAAAAAAAAAGCTTTTAAACACTAGGGCACTGTGTGTATCCAGGGCGGGGTTTCTCCATTCTCTCAGGCTGCTAGTTTTAATTGCTACTGTCTGGAAAGAAGAGATACCACTTTTTCCTCCAACATTTTGCTACTTTCCTCTTCCACTCTTAAGCAAAACAGAAGTCAAAGTCCAACTAGTAGATTTTAATTTAACATGAAAGGATTCTACAGGGCTAAAGTCTTTCACCTCAAAGTCAAGTGACTTGGAGTTGCACTTTGTTAGCCAAGTTAGTAGGCTGCTTGGAATACAAATGAAAGTGCAGATTACAGTTGATTGATTGTGCCTGAAAGCACTAAATTTAAGAGTCTTTTGTATACAAAGGCTTATATCTTGGTTTGTTTGTTTGTTTGTTTACTAGATCTCAACAGATAAATGTGTTAAGTAATATCATTGTAGGGACTAAAAAACGAAAATAAAGTTTTAGAATACACATATATAAGGTAAAGCACAAAACTCCTTTATACTCAGTGATGTAGCAAGGGCATGTTAAGGGCAAATAAATATATTTAAATTAATTCAAGCAAATTATTACTGAGTGGGGCAAGTAATGTCAAGGGTAACAAAATTTCAAAAATTGAGCAGATGAATATTCATCATGACTATGGGGTGTGATGGTGGTGGTGGTGTTCAGGTAGGAGCTGGGAATTTTACTTCTGTCCACCTGCAGGGGTATTTGAATGCATTAGGCAAATCCCAGATTCTTTCGAGGTAGGGTAAATGCAAATAGGTTGAATTGTACCAGGTCTTTGAATAATTTTCGTCATAAATAATTTTGCCTTAGATGTATAGATATACTGTTTGTCTAAATAAATTCATTTCCTTCTGTCACCCTGAAACAAAAGTCCATTTACCCAATGCCATTGTTCATAAAGTATAAAGACAGAGGGGATGAGGGATCCATTTTAATTGTAATTCCTATGGATATTGCTTAAATAGAAAACTTTCATGTCACAAATTTACAATTCTAGAATAAACCTCATGCAGATCTCTTGTCACATGTAACTTTGAAGTCTTGTCAGCACAGCTACCTAATTTATATGAAGCACCCTGGAGTCAGTGTCTCTTTGTAGTGTTATTTGTCAAATGACTCAAGCACTGCTTTAAAGTGTATGTGAGCCTGCTAATCAATCCCTGTGCCCTTACAGAGCATGCTATGCTATGCACAATTTTCTCCTCTATGCATGTGAAATTTTAAATTATATTTGCCTTTGATATCTTTATTTTCCTTTATATTAGAAGTATTGCAGGCAGAAATAAAGCCACTGTATGATTAATATGTGGTATTCTGATAAAAGCAAGTCAGGATTCAGAGGGCATTTGAGTGTGCATGTGTATATTTGTGTCTGTGTTTCTGAGGGCATACAGGTTCTTTGAAATCAGAAATGGGATTGGATTTTGGAAGGACTACTAATACACTCTCATTTAGCATTTATTTAGTAAGTACATGGAACTCTTGTATCATCAGGTTAAATGTCAGGGCTCTTTGTGGAGATACTCTCACAGTTCTTGGATCTATCTTTTCTTTTTTTCTCTCTCTTTCTCTCTCTTCCTAACTTCCTTCCTTCCTTTCTTTCTTTCCCTACTCCTCCTCCTCCTCCTCCTTCTTCTTTTGTGCCAGAGGGTTCTTAAAACACTGAGCATCCTAACCTTTTTTATTTTTTATTTGGAGACAAGTTCTCACCAAGTTGCTTAGTGCCTCACCAAGTTGCTGAGGTTGGCTTTGAACCTACGATCCTCTTGTCTCAGCCTCCCAAACATGCTGGGATTATAGGCGTGCACCACTGCACCCAGCAATCCTTGGTGTTTCAATGTGTTATGCTTCCACCCCTTTCAAAACACCCTCCTTGACTCCTGCAAATATGACTCCAAATTGTATTATTTTATTATGAGGAACTTCTAAAATAAGCTGGTACAGACCTCTATTGTAAAACTGATTCAGGTGTCTGAGAAACTATAAAACACATGAAAGGGATTATGAAGGATTATAAAAAGGACAGCCTTGTGTGTATGTTTGAGACAGAGAACTAAATGGAAAACTGAAGCTAGAGTGAGATACTTATTCATCCATGTGTCCAGGTTTACGTACATACATCACATTCCACTCTCATGCACATATTCCTACACACAAAGCAGGGTCAGAGTGGGAAGAGAGCGAGAGTAAGAAGGAATGGATGACTGTCCTATGATAGAAAAACCTAAGCATGTTCTTCCTGGATTTTGTGCAATTGATGGTACACTGCAGCCAGGCTATCAAGAAAAAGAGGAAAGCAAGTGAATGTCTACCTATCTTAAAGAAAAAAAAAATTAAAGAGCCCATGAAATGATCTAATGTGTAATTTTGTCAAGACAGCATTTTACTTGGAACCACTATGAGACAAGTCAAAGTCATACAAAAATCAGAGGATTTTAAAATTCCATGAGATCATAAAAGCTATCAAGAATTCTAGAACCTTCCCTCACTTATGAATGCAAAATGCCTAATTGGAATGTCTGAATATGGATGAAAGGAGTTTTATATAAGTGTATAAAATCCTCAAATCTCTCTCAGGATTGCGTAGGCACTACCAAGACTCAAACATTGGTAAATGTTGAAATCATATTTGCCCAACTCCCTGTGGGTGTGTCTCTTCTGAGACTCCCCACCTACTCTCCAATCAGCAATGCGTGTTAGTTTTGACAGTTCTAAGGCTGGTGTCCCTTATGAGTTGTCTGTACCCCATGCCAAAACCAAAATCCTCATACAACTTTGGGTCCCTGTCTCCCAACTCAGGACTCAAGAGGAGCAATGTGTGTCCTAAGTAGGTGCCTCTTCTCCTCACCTGCTAGGGTCCTAAAATATACAGGGTGATAATACCAGTGGGCAGTCATAGTGACCACCCCAACACCCACCCAGCAGTGCAGGGTCCAGTCCTCAGCAGGATATGCTCACAAGAGAAGAAGTTCAAGTGGGACACTAGTGGTGAGAGTATTTGGGGTATATGATCCACTTCAGGGGATGCTCAGTGAGGATCTCCGGTCAACAATCCTTGTTGCATTTCATCATTATCTAAAAATACATCTTAATAGCAACACAGCTACATGTTTGGAAAGTTAATCAAATTAATAGTATCTTTGTCAACAACAACAACAACAACAACAAAAAGCTAACACAACCACTGTGATTTACTAAGAATGGTCAAAAGATACACAGGCACACGCAGGTACATGCTCATGTACAATTTGAACACCACAGTTATCACAAGTTCAATCGTTTAGGTGAAGTAAAATCAGAGGCCTGAGGAGTTCATTTAAAATATGGAGCAGAGAAGGCAGGATTTAATCCAGAGAGCATGAGAGCAGAGATGTGTTCTTCATTTCTCATGCTAACTATTCCCACATGGTCCCCAGACTCAGGTTGACCTAAAAAGTAAGGCAGATACGCCATGTAATCTGATTTAGATTGGGAAACACTAAGCCAAATAGTTTTTTCTTTTTCCGTTTGTTTAAAAAAATATTTCGATCTCTTTGGGTACTTTTAAAAGATTAAAAATATTGCATCAAAATACTATTTGTGTCATGGTTGCCCATCAAATAATTTCAAAGAGATTGTGTTCAAAATTGTCTTGAGCAAATTCTTCTCCACTTCAAGTCTCACTTCTCTATTTTTGTTTGTGTAAATTTCATTGCTGACTATTGTGACCCTAATATTATAAAAATGACTTAAATACTTCTAAATAATGTATGTATAGTACTATTTATTCATTTACATAACATTGAGTCAAATTATTAACCCTAGAGAACAAAAATTTATTCATATTATAACCTTTTCCTCCTCTAAAATTAAAAGGCTGATATTTACTTTTTACATATATTTCAGTTTAAATAATAATATCTCTAAGTGTGATTTTTCCACCTTTGATCACCTTTTGCTCAGCATCTACACCTCATCTTTTCTTATACCACCCACATCCATTTTTCTCCCTCTACCTGACAGTTGCCGCTTTACTTCTTTTTGTATGATTAAGGCTGTTAACAGTAACCTCCTATTCTCCAAACACATGTCTTCTACTTATAGACTGTTTGAAAATAAAATGCTGTGAAATCACGATGTTTGGTGATCATTTTAGGCATGAGAATCATACATGTTACACAGTAGCTCTTGGGCATTTGCATAGTCTTTGAATAAGTTACATTTGTTCCAAGACCTCCATCTACAGTACCTGTAACTTTCAGCTTTTCAGCCCCAATGGTAATCTCATCTTCATCTGCAGAAAACAGCACCCTGCCATCTTCACTGGCTCTCACTTCAAATCTTTTACACTGAGCTTCCACAGCATCCGCTCCTATAGTCAGAGGAAAGGTTTAAAAATGAAACTGGCATATAGGAAACCATTAACATGTAATTTTGTAGAAAAAGAAAGAGATACATATAGCATTTTGTTTGTTCCTTTGGGATGTATGTTTACATCTGAATTAGTACTTTCAGATTTTTACCCTTTACAAGAGTCTGTCTAATTGGGAGAATACTGCTGGGCTAGGTTGATTGGGTATATAGAGGATCTCCTATTGTTTGACATTATCTTAATAAGGTCTGTGAGGTTAGCCACTTAAAGACACCCTATATCCACAAGAAGAGGGAATGTCTGCTTCCTTTTGTCTTGCAGGCTGAAGACTTGCTTTACCCCTGATACCTCAGGGATGCTCCATGAACACTTGGAAACCAAATTACTCTCCTGTTTTCCCTCTACAATGCAGACAGCAATACTCATATTGTTACATAATAGCATGCTTCTCAGGCATCATTGAATTGTGAATCTTGAGTCATTTTTCATTTTATAGATTTTACTGTTTTTTTTCACATCCTTTAATAGTATTGAATTTGAATCCATTTTATAGTCAATCTTGCAGTCACTTTACTTTCCCTAGTGTATCTTCTAATCAATCATTTTCATCACTTATTGAAATATAGTATAGGATTAAGCATGTGTAATTACAAAATGAAATTAGAATTCTATTTCCAAATTATTGGCTAATTTTCCTGATCAGTCTACTCACAAACCACAAAGCCAGGCTCTCATAATTGGGAAATGTGATAATTTAAGAATTAGGAGGGATGGAGCAAGAAGATCTAACTGGGCCTTAAAGATGAACACTGACTGAGGAAGAAGGAATTTGAAATACTGGACATGGCTCAGTAATTGATATTTCCACAACATCAATTTCTTTGTTTTGGCATAACACATATGGCATATGGATCTTTTTCTTTAGATAAGTGTATGAAATCTTCAAATCTGTCTCAGGATCTGAATCAGTACTTTTACCTTCTCTCCTGCTAAGATTTTTAGCATCTCTCCCTTGTCTGTATCAGACTTCTCTGACATAACCCAGCCCAGTCAGGGACAGTCACATCACACTGTGGGCATACTCCTTTTTACTCATCTTTCTATACTACCCTGACTTATGACACACACATCTCTAAGAATGTGAAACATGAGTCATCTTTGTCTTTCAAAATATCCTAAAACTTAGAATTGTGTTTGACGTCAAGTGGAGATAAGAAATGAATGTTAGGTAATCCCAGCAGCTCAGGGAGCTGAGATAGGAGGATCACAAGTTCAAAGCCAGCCTCAGCAACAGTGAGGTGCTGAGCAACTCAGTGAGAACCTGTCTCTACATTTAAAAATATAAAAATGGACTTGAAATGTGCCTTGGTGGTCAAGTGCTCCTGAGTTCAATCCACAGTATCAAAAAGAAAAAAAAAAAGGAAATTAATGTTAGTAGGTAAATAAAGACTAGATTCAAACTTTCCCTTTCTTCAGTCCCCAGACCAGCTGAGTACTGCCCCTATTTTAGCCTGTGGCAGTAGGAAATTATACCTCCCTATTTCCATAAACAAGAGGAAACTTAATTTGGAATCCTGTTAATGAGGAAGATAATTTCTCTGACAATAAATGCACATTTTTTTCTTATACTCTAATATTATTGGAAAATTTTAAAAAGATTCAAATGGGGCTACATTAAGTAAGATAGAACTAGTGTCCTCTTGGGATGTCAAGTTCTAAAGAATATGAATTATAATGTTAAAATCTTTTTTTAATTTTTAAATAAAGACTTTCCTTGTAAATTTTAATAATGATGTTGAGAAAATCATCATAGGCCTTTTGTCATTTGTCATTGCATTTGATTTTCATGTGTGTGTGTGTGTGTGCGCGCACGCGCATGCATGCAGGCATGTGTGCTGAGAATTGAAGTCAGGGCCTCACATATGCTAGGCAAGCACTCTACCACTGAACTACTTCCCCAGCCTGTAAGTTTGTGAATATTATCTCAAAAGTTTGTATATACATACATATATTATACACATACACACACACATACATACACAAACACACACACATATACAAGAACATTTTTTACACTAATGAGGATTGAACCCAAGAATGCTATACTACTGTATTGCAACATCAGTCCTTTTTTTGTTTTGTTTTTGGTGACAGGGTCTTGCTAAGCTGCTGAGGATGAGGATGGCTTAGAGCTTGAGATCCTTCTGCCTCAGCCTCCTGAGTGACTGAGATTACAGGTGTGCACCGATGCACCCAGCAAACTTGTATTCATGTAAGTGTTTTCTTCTAATCCTAGCCTAACTTTCCTATATGGGACTTTAGTCTTTGAACCATAGTAACTCAACTGACAGATGTTCAAAAGCTATGCTTGAGGACAATGGATTGATGGATGTGAAGTTTTGCAGCCTTTGAAGTCTCTATTTAAATCTATCTTCAAGTGACTTAGACATACACAAAACCTCAAATTTCTGAAAGATACCATAGATACTTTACAAATAAAAATTTAACATTGACACTACATTGCTTCCTTCAAATATACTCAACTGCTGAGCTTAACTGATTCACAAAATATAGTTAACTTTAATGGCATGGAAGTGTATTAGACTACTTAACATACTTGTACACATATATATTATATGTGTGTGACACATATACACAGAGACAGACATTATATATGTATATACTTATTAGCAGGACTTTTCTTGATGTAATACTTAATGTCTTTAAATAGAAGATAATTTATTAACATAAAATGCTAGATTATGTGTCACATAAACTATTTAAAATAAACTATTAGAAATATAAGTGGAGTAGTATCTGGATATGGCAAAACGAGTTGAGATTTTCATTCATTAAATTTAAATGAGCAAAGGCAAATAAGCAAACTGGAAAACATTTATGCACCCAAAATAGATGAGATGCATCTAAGCCATCAATTAATGCATACAGAATCAGCCAATGGAGAAATGGATATAAAAATTAATACTTTAGACTTCACTTTATTCATTATATTAGCATAATTACAGAAGGCAAAATTGTAAGCAATTAGCAATGCATTGATAGTAAATAAGTATTTTAAATTGGAACATCATTGTGTAATATTGCATTTACAGACAGTGCTTTTCCTTTCTGCAAATGGAAAACACTAAAATATGTACTGGGGGATAGTCAATTGTTGGGAATATTTATGCTCAAAATTAATATATTAGAATTTAAGAAACTGAATTTATTATATTCTAACATGCTTTGGGCTGTCTATTTTTACATTCCTAGTGTCACATACTCTCTGGGCTGTCATTGCAAGATGTTCTCAGGAGCAGTAATGTACAGTACTATCTAAATCAATGATGTTTCTGGCGTAGCAGAAAAAGCAATGTGCTTGGATGACTCTGGGTAAGGAGCTAGGATTCCTTAGCCTGTGGATCATGGGAGATGGGATTATCAAGGCAGTACTGTATTTTCTCAGTCATCTTAAGAATTTAACTTACTAACTAAAGTACCAAGATTAAATGCTTTCTTAGAAAAATCTCCAAGGAATATTATATCAACCACTTCAAAATCATATGAAGGGAAGTCAGTATTAGAATTTGGAAGGAGAATTGGCTGGCAGTTGAGAGAAAAAAAAATGCAAGCAAAATAGTTTCCCTAAAAGTATTGAAATATTAGATGCATATCCAAATACCTTTAGTACTTTTAACGTTCTGTACACTTTAAAAAAAAAAATAAGAAAAACAAGAACAACCACAAAGCTCAATTCTTGTTTTCTTGGAGATGTCTTCTTTGTCTTTTTAGAATATAACTTTGGTTGACAAAGAGAAAGTCTCCAACAACTAAATACTGTCTCTGCATTTTTTACATTAAGTTAGTCAAATACTTGAGCTAGAATTTTTTCTTCAATGCATATACCCAAAGAGCTAGAGCAATATGTTTTCTCTAGGTAATATTTAGTACTGGTTCAAAGAAATCAAAGCAAAGATCACAATGATTTTACTTGCTTGTCTTTGGTGTGTCTTCCTCAAGTATCCTAGGATGGGTTCTTTCTTCCATTATCACTCTGCACTCTAATTTTATAGGCATGTCAATATATGCAAGGTCTTAAGAGTATTAAGAGATTAGAAATCTTAGAAAAACAAGAGTAAAATTCAAAATTCTCTGTTCAGAAATTCCTGATTTAGAATTACCACGATGGACCCCAAAATAAATAAATAAATAAATAAATAAATAAATAAATAAATAAATAAATAAACAAACAAAATAAACATTTGTCATGAATTTAAATGTAAATATACATTTTAATTATTTAATTTTTTGGTACTAGGGATTGAATTTAAGGGTGCTCAAGCACTGAGCAACATCCCTAGTCCTTTTGATTTTTTTTAAATTTTTTTAAAATTTTGTGACAGGGTCTCACTAGGTTGCTCACAGCTTCACTAAGATTCTGAGGCTGGCTTTGAAACTTTAGTTCTCTTGCCTCAGTCTTCTGAGTCACTGGGATTACAGAAGTGAGCCACCAAGCTTGGCTTCCTGGCTTTTATTTTGTTCTATACTGTGTGTGCTATTGAACTTGCACACTGGAAGGTAGTCTTTGCATGTCCTGGGGGCAGGGTCAGAGTAAGGGGAAGCAACACTCAGCCAGGCTGGCGGGCTGCTTTACTACCTGGCACTGGAATCCTGGGCATTTGCAATCCTCAGAGGATCCTCCAGGCATAAGCCAGCCCCCTCCTCCCTGCAGGGACTGTCCCCCCTTTTGGAATGGAGAAGTCATTCCTCCTCCAACATCTAAGGCAGCTGTATGTTCTCTCAAGTTCAACATATTTTACATTCATCCTCCTACCTCTCTCCCTGCAGTTCCCCATCAAGCACAGTGTCTACTAGAATTGATCTTTTACACAGAGATTCCTCAATAAAATCTGTTGTAGACTGAAGGATTCTACTGTTCTTCACCATTTGTACATGTGGATGTTATCTCTCCCTCACCCATATCACTTCTCCTGCTCTCC